CCCCTCCCCCATCTTTATAATTTTTCAAAAAAAATCCGAAAGTTATTTATTGAAGCAATAGCTGTAAAGGCGAGAAAATTTCGCATTTAAAATACAGTTTTTAGCAGTGGTACGGCGATTCTTAATGATTTTTGATATACAAGTCGCCAATGGTAGAATTAAAAACAAAATGGCGGATTTCGTTTTGACATCTTCTACCGTATATCATATGAACAATGGAGACAGCTTTACCAGCAAACATGCTTTTGATTGATTGATTTATTTTTTAAACGCATATGATATATATGATATATATATATCATTCTACCACGTCTGTGATGTAACGACGGTTTTCATTGGTTAAAAAAGAGTGCATTATTGAACGATATACCATCCGTGTGCCAATAACCAATGCACGTGAAATATTGCACACGCATGCTGTTCCACCAACCTCCCCGTATTTTATCATGAATTAACAAAAATAGCATAACTGTCAGGCGGGATCAAAATATTTGACAGGCCTGCCATTCAAAAGATTATACGGATCTATAGACCTAAAGTATGTGGGTCCGTGCAGTGAAAATGGTTTATTAATTATTGACATTTAAAATGTACAGATCTGAAGACAAAATGGTAAATTGTAAATTACTTCTGTTTTTACTTCACTGGGTAGTGCCGTACATTTCACGATGTGTGCAGTGTGTGTATGTACTGTCAAGCGTTGATTTCATGTTTTGACGAACGATGTCGATAGCGTGCCAATGTTTGATTGATTGAAATAAACATCGTATCTGACGTCACACGTGTTCAGTTGTTTCTGGTCTGCAAAACGTCGTCTGCTTTCAAAAAATTCAAAGTGATGTCGAGCATTCGCCTACAGTGTACATACCGTGTGTGAAGAATAATGTTGCAAAAAGTAGCATCGGTCTGAACAGTGGTTGCAAAACACAGCTGTCCGGTGAAGTCGGTGAAGGTGAAGGTCGCGTCATGATCAGCCGGTCAGCGACTTTCCATCACGTCATGGCAACAAACTAAATATGCCAACTCAGGTCTATCGTACGATGTTGTATCACTGGCACTTCCAAGAAAATCCGCTTGATATCGGTACGATGATGATAGTTTTAAAAGTAAACGCAATCCGGGAATCCCAACCCTACGCACTGAGAAATGTTGGCGCGACATTGATCAAGTTAAACCAGGCAACACGATCACGTGATAAATCTTGCACG